AGCAGGAAATTCTCATGGTAGTCATGGTGCGAAGGGTCTGTCATTTTTTCCGAAAATGACGGCATGCATTTATTATCCAAATGACCTTTGCGTGATGGATATACTGTCCTGTAAATAATTACGTGAATTTTAAAGGACACACTGCTGTTTTGAGGAATGAGTTCCGAGAGAAGCCTGCTTGTAACCGGAAATAGAAAAAGTATATAAGTTTCCCAAGCCAAGGAGTCAAAATTGCTGAAATTCGGTACAATTTTAAAGGTCTTCTGGCTGCAAATGGCGTTACGCCTGTTTAGCACCATACGTCTGGCCATACGCAGGGAACAATTCTAGGAACGAATGAATTGTGACTATCACAAATAACATAATTCATATATTCCAACTTAGTCATTAATGTCCTTCACTTTTGCACTTTGTGTTAAAAAAGCAGAGCTACTTTTATCCACGACTGACTGTGCATAGTATATTTTGATTAACTAGATACGCTTGATTATTTTTAAGCCTTCACAACATAAAGCGTTTCTTGGTCTTTAAGGCTGTTGGAAACTGTGGAATGTTTGTTTCATCATACTCCAGAAGCACCCTCGGTTTGCATTATATTCCAACTCCTGCTACATAGTAGGGTATCAGAAGGTTGAGCACAATGTATCCACGTATCGATTCATGCATTCATCCATCCATCCCAATTGCCAGCATTAAAATTTCTGCAAGCGCACTGAGACATCTGAGAACAGCATACGTTGGAGGGGCCATACCTTAAACATCACAGGGTAAATCCACAGCAAGAATGGCAAGAATGGTCGAAATTCTCTCTGGAGGATGAGATTTTTGGTACCAGGAAGGTGTCCAGTCTCCTATGCGTCTAATGGTTCCTGGCTCATTAGTGCAGACAGTTCTTCAAGGATTCCACGAGCAACTTGGCCACGTGGGTGAATAGAAGATGCTAAGCGACTCGAGTAAAAGATACTGGTGGCCTTCACTCACCCTAGATGTACGGCACTTCTGCCGATCCTGTCCCACTTGCAGCGGTTTTGGAAGGCCTCAACCCACAACCATTGCACCCTTACAACCCATGCCCACCGGTTTCCCAGAGGAAAGCGTAGGTATGAACATTATGGGCCCTCTTCCGCCTACCAAGAGAGGGAACCGATATATTTTGGTTATGGTAGATTACTTCACG